GCTGCCTCTGGAAGGCACCGAGATGTACCTTTTTTGCGCAAATGGTCAAATCAAGGTTTTGTAACGCGAGCTGTGCCACAGTGAAATGGAACTAGCCCTTCTTGGTTCCATACCCACCTCTCTCCCACTTCTCCATTCCATTACTATTTGTGTCTTTTTTATGGGTTTGTGGTACGTTGCTGCTCGGGTCTGACTCTAGAGGTCTCGATATAAATATAGCTCTTCAGACACAGTGTCTTCTCCGGCGTGTGCTCGGCGTGTGCTCGTGCGTCCTCTCGGGCGGCGGCGCGCCGCGCCTTGCGGCCGAGCAGACCCTCCTCGACGAACCGGTCGAGCATACGCAAGTCGGCGCCCTCCATGCGCACACCTAGTCTCGCGCACAACCTCGCGTCATCTCGCGCAACCTCGCGTCGGCTCAGCGGCTCTCCCAGGGCTCCACGCGCCGAGGTAGCCCTTGGCCTGGTCGCCGATCAGGTTGTTGACGACGTGGCGCGACACGTCGATCCCGACCTCGTCGCAGAGCGTCACGCCGCCGACGGGCATCCCAAAGTCGAGCAGCGCCGAGTTGATCGCGAGCGGGTCGGCGCCCTGCTGCGTGAGCGCCATCGCCTCCGTGAGGAAGGGGCCGAGGCAGCGGTTCACGTAGAAGCCGGGCACGTCCTTGACCGCGATCACCGTCTTGCCTACGTGCTGAGTGCGCCAACCTCGGGGCGGGATGACGGTATCGTGCAGTGTGATCAGAGCACCGCGTGAAGACGAGGGGTACGGAACAATGCTAGTTGGAATGAGAACACGTATTCCGCTTCTAGGCTGTCTCGCCCTGCTGGATGCCAACCTCGACGGCGGCGGCGGCGACGGCGGGCGCGGTCTTGTCGTGCGTGATGACCTCGAGCAGCGGCATCTTTGGCACGGGCGAAAAGTAGTGCATGCCCACGATGTTCTCCGGCCGCTGCGCGACCGACGCGATCTCGCCGATCGGCAGGGTAGACGTGTTTGAGGCGATGATGCAGTGCGGGCCGACGATGGCCTCCATCTCGCGCACGCACCACCTAGTGAGGCACGGCGAGGAAACGGTGGGCCCCTCCACACACACGAGGTGGTGGGGCAAGGGCGAGGCTGGTCCCTCGCGACTCCACGTCTAGACGACAGGAGCCCCACGGCATTCAAAGCGCAAGGCCCGGTGCGCATGTGTGAGGTGTGTGAGTGAGACCACCTTGTGCTTGACCGATGACCATGTCGGCGCCCGCAAAGTGCTTCTTCCACGCGGGCGAGCCGTCGGTGAGCCCGACGAGCCGCGAGGCCTGCGCGAGATGTGGGGGAGATGTGGGGGAGATGTGGGGGAGATGTGGGGGAGATGTGGGGGAGATGTGGGGGAGATGTGGGGGAGATGTGGGGGAGATATGGGGAGATCGAGCCGTCGGTGAGCCGCGAGGCCTGCGCGTCGTGCGTGTAGGTGGTGAGGCGCTTCTTCTTCAGCTTGGCGCCGAGCGACTTGAAAATCATGTCCTCGCCGCGCGACAAGCCCGCCTGGAAGAGGGGGAGATGTGGGGAGATGTGGGGAGATGTGGGGAGATCACGTCCTCCCCGCGCGAAAGAGGCCCGCCTGGTCCTTGTCCTTCATCAGCACGCGCAAGTTCTTGCCGATCGACACCTCCGCGATGCCCGCGCCCATGAGCCCGGCGCCGAGGACGCCAATCGTCTCCACCTGTTGAGAGGGGTACGGCCGTAGAGGAGAGGGAGAGGCACTACACGACTGGCGACGGGCTTGCCGAAAGGGTGATCTCCATCTCTCCCCAGATCTCTCCATATCTCCCCAGATCTCTGCGCACCTTCTTGTCGGGCTTGCCGGACGGGGTCTAGGAGGTGTCTAGGAGGTGTCTAGGGGGGTGTCTAGGGGGTGTCTAGGGGGTGTCTAGGAAGCGTCTCGCCTTCTTGTCGGGCTTGCCGAACGGGTTCTTCTTGGCGGCGGTCGCGCCGAAGAAGATGCCGCGCAGCGCGGCGGACTCAGACGTCGCGGCGAGCTTGCCGAAGAGCTGCCGCTCGACGGTGGAGCCTGCCGTGTGCCCCGCCTCGAGGCCCGCCTTCGCACACTCGAGGATCGCGGGCGGGGCCTAGTCATGCTCAATTCATGGTGACTCTTGCAGTTCCCGTCGCCCCGCCGTCTGCGCACTCGAGGATCGGGCGGCGCCGGGTAGTTGCCCTTCGTCTGCTTGAGCATCGCCTTGGTCGCCTGGTCGAAGAGCAGCTTGCGGCCTGGCGGCGTCTTCTCGAGGAACCAGTCCATCCAGCCGAGCTTGCGCTGGCGCGGCTTCGTCTTGCCGGAAGCAGCGTCGAGCGCAGTGGCGATCGCCGACCGCTCGAGCGCGTTGGGGTCCACGACCGCGTCGACGAGGCCCATCTTCTTGGCCTTGTCGGGCTTGACCTGCTGCCCGGTGAGCATCATCTGGATCGCCGTCTGCGAGAATGGCGAGGACCATCACATCGCCCGCCTTCATCGCGTCGAGCACCGAGTCGACGCGGCGGCTCGGGCGGAGGACGGTGAAGCGCTGCCGCGCCGCTGTCGCCGCCGTCGCGCCATCAGCCACCGCCGCGTGCGAGAGCAGCTGCTCCCCGATCGCCTCGGCCTGCGCGTCTTCGCCCGCCGCGACGATGACGAGGACGCGGGGCGGAACGGCGGCGTCGCCGCGACAACCTGCGTCTGCTTGGCCTGCCGCGCTTGCTTGGCCATGTTGCGGCGTTTTTGCTTGCCCGCTTCGGCGTTGCGACGCCGCCGTCGCGAGGCCATACCGAAAAGAATTTAAACAAGAAACTCTCTCTCACAGCAGACAGGCTCGACACAGGTGCGAACTGGCGCGTGCTAGTACTATCACCGGCACACCGAAAAGAAGTAAACGTGGCCAAGTCGCTCTCGGCGTGCGCTGCGCCCTCCCCCCTTCCGCTTTTGGCGACCAGCCGAAAAAAAAATGCGAGCAGAGAGAGAGGAGAGCCTTTGAGCCTTGGCACCAGCCAGGCAGTTGATTTGGCCCTGGCACCAGCCTTGGCAGTTGAGTTGGCCTTGGCACCAGCCTTGGCGGGCGGGCACGCGGGACATGCACAGGCGCCAAGGGGCGCAGCGCCGACAATCACGGCGGTGATTGCGGCGCAGGTGGGGGGACGGGAAGTCCGTCGGCGTTGCCGGGGGCCCAAGGAAGCGCGAGGGAAAAATTCCGCCGCTGAGGGCGCTCGTGCGGCAATAGCCGGGTGGAGGGGGGAGCGTGCCGGACGGGGCGTCGTCGCGCCGTCCGATGGTCTGCTGCCCCGCGCAGCAACCGTCGGGCGACGACCCGGGGGCCAAAAACCCGGCGACGACGGCGCTCTGGATGGGGCGTGACCTCCTGCCTCCAACCTCCTTCCTTTTTGAGCAGGTGTGACGCCGCGCGAGCGACGCTCCGAGATCGCCCGAGATAGCGCGGCGCGGCCCCGAGATCGCCCGAGATCGCGCGAGATAGCCCGAGATCGCGCGGCCCGGCCCGGGGCGGGGTGGATGGGTTGGGAGCGAGGGGGCGGAAGTGTTCAGTGCGGTAGATGGTCAGCTCGAGGCGCGTGAGCCGGACTTGTGAGCCGGACCACCCCCTCTTGAACCCTGCGTTGTTGACGGTTACTGGACCGTCACGTGTTCAACGACGTTGAACAGTGTTCAACCACGGCGCTGTTCACAGCGCGCGCGGACGGCCGTTCTGCGAGTCCAGCTCCGCTGGACTTTTGTAAAGCATGCTTGTGGCAAGTTATAGACGCTAGTATCGACCTCAGAGACCCAAACCCGAATTAATAATTAAGGCTCAAAGTATGGTTGAACAACCGTTGAACAAACAGGTTGAACAACGATATCCGACTAGTGCGACCGCTAGACGGCGGTCTCCGCCGGCCCCAAGGCTGCCCAGCCCCAGTACCACACCGGCCACGTAGACCGTAGCGCTGGAGTCGGTCGGTGAGGCACTAGACGGGCTACGGAACCATGCGCGCGCCGGCCGGACAGGCTGCGCGCAGGGGCCGCGCCGCCTCGATTTCGCATCTCCGCTCCGCGGCCGACTGAGGGGCCAGCTCGCCCGGCGACAAGCCCAGCCATCGCCCAGCGCCCCGTATCGACGGAGGGCACGCAAAAAACCCGCACCTACGACTAGGGTGAGCCCGTGAGGGCGTCGGTGTGGGCCGCGGGCGGGCTGCGAGGAGGGCGCGGGTGGGAGCATGGGAGATGCACCACCGCTCGACGAAGACGCGCCCGACGAAGCCCTGCTTGCGGAGGATGGTCGATCCTCACCTACTAGCGTCGGGCGTGTGCGAAAAAGAGCGCAAATCGGAGCTCAACTCGCGCGCGGCTGGGAAAGGGGTGTGGCACCCCTCCGAAGGCGCCTCGCGAGGAGCTGCTGCTGCCTCCAAACGCGCTCGGGCAGCACGTCGGCGCGCCTGCGGGGTTGGGGAGGTGAAACTATGCTTGCTGGCACGCGCATCCCGCACCACCCCCACGTCCGCGCGCACCATGCCGCCATCCCACCTCACAGCCAAGCGCCATCGCCGTCGGACGCGGCGACGCCGAGCGGTGGCCTCGCAGACGACGAGCGCGATGAGGCCGCCGCGCCGCCGGGGTGGCCGGCGCGTGCCAGCCGCTGGCCCGTCCAGCGTGGCGGGACCGGCTCGCCCATCCTGGCCGGCGCGCTTGCCGACGCGAGAAGATCGCGCGAGAAGGCAAAATGTGGCAAAATCGCCCTGTTTTCCCACCCTTCACGGCGACTTCACGTCGGAACGAGTCGGATCGACGACTCCCCGCCTGCACCAGCGTGTGCGCCTTGCAATTCTATACAGAATCGACACGTGGTACGTCTTCTCAATCGCTCGTGGAGAGGAGCTACGGCCATTCCTAAGTAGTGTTCAACGACGTTGAACAATGTTCAACGTCGTTGAACACGGTCCAGTAACCGTTGAGCCAGGACTCAACATACTCGGGCTGTCGCCGTCCCAAACTGTCACTCCCCTCTCTCCCGGCCGGGGTGGGGCGCGCGCGGGGGCGGCGGGTGTGCGGCGAGTGTGCGGGATGTCTGTGGGCCCGAGAGCGATATGCCATGTCCGCCTTGCGTTGTTTCATAACATCGAAGGCTAAGCTCAAAAAAAATGCACTTCCGCAGTGACGACGCTGGGCATAACATCCCATCGCCCAGCGCACCCCTGTCTCATGAGGACACTTTCCACGAATGCTTCACACGGCGCGGCGGAGGCGGCGGTGGCGGGGGAGGCGGAGGGCTTGCGCCTGCACCTCTCTAGCAGCAACAGCACCGGGTACAGGGGCGTGCGCAAGGAAAGACGCCGCTTCCGGGCGCAGCGCAAGGTTGACGGCAAGTCTGTCGCCCTCGGCTGCTTTGACACGGCCGTGGAAGCGGCGGTGGCCTATGCGCGGATGGTCGGGGAGGCGCCGGTGGCGGCGGAGGCGGAGGCGGAGGCGGTGGAGGCGGCGGTGGCCTACGCGCAGGCGGTCGGGGAGGCGCCGCCGGTGGCGGTGGTGGAGGAGGCGGAGGGCTTGCGCCTGCACCTCTCCAGCCGCAACGGCACCGGCTACAAGTGTGTCTACAGGCACACCTCTGGCAGCTTCGAAGTCACCAAGGGCGAGAACGGCAAGGCAGTCTATCTGGGCTGCTTCGGCACGGCGGTGGAGGCGGCGGTGGCCTACGCGCGGGCGGTCGGGGAGGCGCCGCCGGTGGCGGCGGAGGCGGCGGCGCAGGCGGCGGCGGAGGCGGCGGCAGCGGCGGTGGTGCCGGAGGCGGAGGGCTTGCGCCTGCACCTCTCTAGCAGCAACAGCACCGGGTACAGGGGCGTGCACAAGGAAAGACGCCGCTTCCGGGCGCAGCGCAAGGTTGACGGCAAGAATGTCGCCCTCGGCTGCTTTGACACGGCCGTGGAAGCGGCGGTGGCCTACGCGCGGGCGGTCGGGGAGGCGCCGGTGGCGGCGGTGGAGGAGGCGGAGGCGGTGGAGGAGGCGGAGGCGGAGGCGGAGGCGGAGGCGGAGGCGGAGGCGGAGGCGGAGGCGGAGGCGGAGGCGGTGGAGGAGGCGGAGGGCTTGCGCCTGCACCTCTCCAGCCGCAACGGCACCGGCTACAAGTGTGTCTACAGGCTCACCTCTGGCAGCTTCGAAGCCAGTAAGTACGAGAACGGCAAGGCAGTCTATCTGGGCTGCTTCGACACGGCGGTGGAGGCGGCGGTGGCCTACGCGCGGGCGGTCGGGCGGGAGGCGGAGGCGGGGCCATCGTCATCGGCGGCAGAGTCAGAGGCGCCGCAGCCAGCAGGCTCTGTGGCGGCAGCTCCTTCCGCCGCCACCACCGTCTCCGCTGCCTTCTCCGCCGGCACGTTTGCGGAAGGAGACCACGTCTCGTCGGCACCGGGGCGCGCGCTGCACGGCAGGTGCGCAAAGTGGTTCCCCGCGCGCATCGCCGCAGTCAACGCAGACGGCACGTACGACCTTGCCTACGAGGACGGAGACGAGGAGGAGGGAGTGGCGGCCGGGCTCATCCGGCCCGCGCAAACGCAACCGGCGCAGGCAGAGAGCAGGAGCCCAAAGGCGCGCAAACTCGCGGAGCCGGCCGTGCCGCCGCCGCCGCCGCCGCCGCCGCCGCCGCCGCCGCCGCTGCCGCGGGAGGAGCTTCCAGAGCCGCCAGCAGAACCTGTGCCGCCGGGCTGGAGCGTCGAGCAGCGCACGACCTCCTCGGAGCGCACGTACGCCATCTACCACAGCCCGGCGGGGCTGCGCGCCGCCTCGCTGACCGACGCGTGGCGCAAGCACGACGCGGAGGCCGAGGCGGAGGCGCTGACGCTAAACTGGCTGGATCGGCTGCCGCCGCGCCGGCTCAAGCCGCTCTGCGAGGAGAAGGGGCTGCCGACGTACGGCAATTCGGAGGCGCTGGCGAGGCGGCTGCGCGAGAGCGGCGGTCTGAGCGTGTCGCAGCTCAAGGCGCTGTGCGAGGCGGAGGGCCTCGTCAAGCAGGGCACCAAGGCGGAGATCGCGCGGCGCCTCCGCGACAAGCTGCGTCGGGAGGCGGGCGCCACGGCTGCTCCCGAGGCGGCCTGCGCCACGGCTGCCCCCGAGGCGGCCTCTTCTCCGTCGGCCTCGGCAAGCGGCAAGGGCACCAAGCAATCCCACGACGCGTCGTCGTTTCGAGAAGCGCTTGCGGCGGAGGCGGCAGCGGCGGTGGTGCCGGAGGCGGAGGGCTTGCGCCTGCACCTCTCCAGCAACGCCACCGGCTACAAGGGTGTCTACAGACACCCCCGTGGCCACTTTCAAGCCACCAAGTGCGAGAATGGCAAGGTGGTCTTTCTGGGCTGCTTTGGCACGGCGGTGGAGGCGGCGGTGGCCTACGCGCAGGCGGTCGGGGAGGCGCCGCCGGTGGCGGTGGTGGAGGAGGCGGAGGGCTTGCGCCTGCACCTCTCCAGCCGCAACGGCACCGGCTACAAGTGTGTCTACAGGAACGCCTCTGGCAGCTTCGAAGTCACCAAGTGCGAGAACGGCAAGGCAGTCTATCTGGGCTGCTTCGGCACGGCGGTGGAGGCGGCGGTGGCCTACGCGCGGGCGGTCGGGGAGGCGCCGCCGGTGGCGGCGGAGGCGGCGGCGCAGGCGGCGGCGGCGCAGGCGGCGGCGGCACCGGCACCGGCGGCGGCACCGGCGGTGGTGCCGGAGGCGGAGGGCTTGCGCCTGCACCTCTCCAGCAGGTCCGACAATCGCACCGGCTACGTCGGTGTCATTGCGCGGGGACCACGCTTCGAGGTCTCCCACCGCCGTGTCTACCTGGGCCACTTCGACACGGCGGTGGAGGCGGCGGTGGCTTATGCGCGGGCGGTGGCGGCGGCCGGGCAGGAGCCTGTGGCGGCTTGCGCGCGGGCGGTCGGGCAGGCAGGATCGGGGGAGGAGGCGGAATTGGAGCCAACGGCGGACGAGATTGTGACGGCGATCGTGTGCGACGGCTGCGATGGCGACTTTGAGCTGCCGCCGGGGACGCTCGCGCCCGAGGGCAAGTGGTTTTGCGCGGCGTGCTATGCTCGCGAGGTAGCGGGGGCGCCTGCTCTTTCACCACCGGTGGCGGCGGAGGCGGCGGCGCAGGCGGCGGCGGCGGCGGCGGTCGTGCCGGAGGCGGAGGGTTTGCGCCTTCATCTCTCGAGCAGCAACCCGACCGGCTACACGGGCTTGGTCCAGCTACCCTCCGGGCGCTTCAAGGCGCGGCGCCGGGTGGGCGGAGAGAATGTCTCCCTCGGCATCTTCGACACGGCGGTGGAGGCGGCGGTGGCGTATGCGCGGGCGGTCGGCGAGTACCAGCCTCCGACAGTGGCTGCGGCGGAGGCGGAGGGCTTGCGCTTGCACCTCTCGAGCAGCAACAGCAGTGGCTACAAGGGCGTGTATCAGTACTCCGACGGACCCTACTCCACTTGCCGCTTCGGGGTGCGGTGCAGGGTTGATGGAAAGGATGTTTACCTCGGCAAATTTGGCACGGCGGTGGAGGCGGCGGTGGCGTATGCGCGGGCGGTCGGGGAGACGCCGCCTGTGGCGGCGGAGGCGGCGGCGCAGGCGGCGGCGGCACCGGCACCGGCGGTGGTGCCGGAGGCGGAGGGCTTGCGCCTGCACCTCTCCAGCAACAACCGCACCGGCTACAAAGGTGTCTACAGGCTCACCTCTGGCAGCTTCGAAGTCAGTAAGTGCGAGAACGGCAAGGCAGTCTATCTGGGCTGCTTCGGCACGGCGGTGGAGGCGGCGGTGGCCTACGCGCGGGCGGTCGGGGAGGCGCCGCCGGTGGCGGCGGAGGCGGCGGCGCAGGCGGCGGCGGCAGCGGCGGTGGTGGAGGAGGCGGAGGGCTTGCGCTTGCACCTCTCCAGCCGCAGCCCGACCGGCTACACGGGCGTCAACAAGGAAAGTCGCCGCTTCCGAGCGAGGTTCAACGAAATCCACCTCGGCTGCTTCGACACGGCGGTCGAGGCGGCGGTGGCCTACGCGCGCGCGTTCGGGGAGGCGGCGGCACAGAGCAAGGGCACCAAGCGCCCGCGCGACGCCTCGCTGGCGCCTGGTGGCCTCACAGCATCTTCTCGCGGCGTACCGGGCTCTGCCGAGTTGGAGGGCGGCGGGAGCAGCCGCGAGGAGTGGCTGAGCGTGGGCCCGTATGTCGGCCGGCGGCTGCTGCGGCGGCTCGAGGGCCACGGCGACGTCCACGCGGCGGTTCGGCTCTATTTGCCCGAGGTAAGATCGGCCCGAGAGATTCGCCGAGATTCGCCGAGATACGGCCTACTTGCTCGTGGGCGGAAACGACACACGAGACCGTGCTAACCGTCAGGCGGAGGACGAGCCCGCGCTATGGCGCATCGAGCACGACGACGGCGACGGAGAATCTCCTGGATCTGACTCTCCAAACGGCGTCTCTCCACACTCGCCTTTTGTGAGTAGGCGACGAGGAGGACCTCGAAGAGCACGAGGTGCGCGAGGCGTTGCAGCGGCTCGCCAGTCGCACCGCCAGAGGCGTGACCTTGTACGAGCCTGGCTCTGGCTGGCGGACCTACGATGGCGGCTCTCCGCAGAGCTCGGGCCTTCTGGAAGATGCGGTCGATGGCGACGAGGCGTTGTCCGTCGTCGCCGCCGTTGTAAGCGACGGCGACGGGTCCGAGGACGGCTCGGCGGACGGCGCGGAGTGGGTCGACGCGGAGGTCGTCGAGATGGAGGTCGACGGGACGAACGCCGACGAGGCCTGCTCGGAAGAGGCGGGCGGCTCCGGCCTTGTCCTCGCGCCGGGCGGCGGCGGCCGGCGGGAGGAGGCCACGGACAGACAGGAGTCGCGCGAGGGGGGAGCCCCGGCGGCGGAGGCGGCGGCGGAGGCGGAGGGCCTGCAGGCGGCGGCGTTTAGGGAGGCGCCGGAGCCGACCGTGGCGATGCCCGAGGAGGCAGCGGTGGCTGCGGCGGAGCAGGGAGCGGCAGCGACGGGGGTGGTGGAGCCGGCGGTTGCCTGCGCGCGGGCGGTAGGGGAACCAGGCGCGATGCAGGAGCTTTCGTCCAGCGTGCAGCAGCAGTGGCAGCAGCAGTGGCTGCAGCAACAGCTGCAGCAGTGGCATCAGCGGTGGCGGCAGCATCAGCAGCAGCAATTGGCCGCCGCCGTCGCACCCGCCCCCGCCGCTGCCATGAGGTCCTCAGCCATCAGCGCAGCCGCAGTCGCCGCTGCCGCCGACATTGCGCCGGAGAGGCTGCCGGCAACGGTGCTACACGAGGCGCCGGTGGAGGAGGCGGAGGGCTTGCGCTTGCACCTCTCCAGCCGCAGCATCACCGGCTACAAGGGCGTGTACGTGCAGCCTCGCTCTGGCCGCTTCGAGGCGCGTCGCAAGGTGGAAGGCAAGGATGTCTGCCTCGGCACCTTCGACATGGCGGTGGAGGCGGCGGTGGCGTATGCGCGGTCGGTCGCACTTGCCCAGCCCGTACATTGCACGCCGATCACGCGCCGCCCGGCCAGCTTCGATGCAAGGCTCAACGCGCTCGAGCGGGTGGTTCAGGCTCGCATGGCACAGGAGATGCCGATCTCACCGATCACGCGTGTCGACCATTGCGAGGCCTCGGCCGCCGCCCCCACGTTCAGCTCGCAGGGCATCGCTTTGCTCGAGGCTGCATTTGCTCATGCAGCCACTGCCCCCCCCCCCCCCCCTCGCCGTGTCGAGTGGGGGTGGATTGTGATAGGCGCACACTCGCGGCCGTGCTGGAGGCGAGCACGCGGCAGGTGACGGTCTGGTTCCAGAACCGTAGGGCGCGGGGCATCCCCCTCCCTGTCCCGCGCGCAACGCCAACGGGCTTTTAGCTGGGGTCCTGCCCCGCCCCGGCGCGGTCGCAAGCGCCTCAGGGCCCCGCCGTGGCCCGTCGGTGCGGGGAGAGAGCGAAACCAATAGAGCTTTTAATCTGAGAGAGATGTGCTGTGCGGTTGTGCGCGAGTCTCAGAGTCCAACTGACTCTTGAGACTCCATATCATATCTCTGTTCACTGTTGCGCGGCGCCCCTTGCGGCCCTGTTGGCACGCCGATAGCGCTACTCGTCGGTTGCGGCGCCAGCGGCCGGGGGCCTCGAAGCAGAAGGACTGCGGCCGCGCCTTTATTTATTTTTTATCAGCCTGTCGCTCCTTCCACCCGTTCCGCGCTGATTTCAGCAAGTGCTTCAGCCCCCATCGCGAGAGACACCATGCACCATCGCGAGAGACACCACCAAGCACCACCCACCCCACCCACCCCGCCCACCCACACCTGGCGAGTAGAGGCACACGCACGCTCTCTCGAGGTCTCTCTTGGACCAGGAGGACGCCAAGGTGCAAATTATATAACCGCAGCGTGTCTTCAGTCCCTTCCGATTACCTAAGGCCGAACAAGGCCGAACAGGCCGTCAAGGCGTCGCGTATCTCTTCTCCTCGCACGCAGACGATGAAGCAGCCCTTCCTCCTCGTTCTCACGCTCGCGGCGACCCACGGCGAGTCGGAGGACGCAGTCTCGAGCAAGACCTGCCCCTGCAGAAGTCTGTCGGGGATTCGCTGCCTCTTCTGCACGACGATCCACTTTCGCCTCGACTGCATCGGCGAGTGCTTTTCGCCTCCTCCTCCTTCTCCTTCGCCTCCTCCTTCGCCTCCTCCTTCGCCTCCTCCGCCGCCTCCTCCATCGCCTCCTCCATCGCCTCCTCCATCGCCTCCTCCATCGCCTCCTCCATCGCCTCCTCCATCGCCTCCTCCATCGCCTCCTCCATCGCCTCCTCCATCATTCCAGGTCTGCGACGACATGTTCCCTTTTCTGGAAGGAGTCGGCCCGGACCCCCTCCACGTCCGTTGCAATGACATGTGCGCCAACGTCACCGCCGAGGAGCAAGACTCAGAGCAGGCGGCGATCTGCCTTGATCGCCACGACCACGAAGCCCCGAACTTGGGCGGCATCTTCTTTGCCCAACGCCCAGTGGACGAGTCGAAGCAGCTCGACAGCAAACACAAGCCCTACATGCCTACCCCATCGATCTGCAGACCGAATCAAAAGCGGACGGGTCCGCGCTGCGTTGCGGGCGGTCAGCTGGCACCGGACTCAAAGCGTGCGAAGACCTTGCGCAACACCCTCCTGAACCCACTGGTTGAACCAGTTGCCGATGCGCTCCTCTTCAAACCGCCATTCAACCAGCGTGTTCTCAAGTCAATCACACGGATCGTGCACAACGTCCACCCAGGTCCGGTTCCGATCCTGGCCAAGGGGGCCGAGCTTGAGCTCATTGAAGATCCAGAGAAATTCAACGCCTATGTGGAGCAAAGCTACAACGGGAACATGGGCCTCGTGTTGGGGCAGGAAGATGTGATGCCACAGGAGCGCATGGCAAACATCTTCCAGAACACCTGGGCGGCGCAGTTCCTCACCTACGACGACGACAAGCGCACATACACATTCGCCTGCGACGAAACGGTCATCAGCACTGAACGGGACGGAGGAAAGCAACCGATTCTCGACTCACTGCTCAATCCCGAGTACGATTTCAGGACTTTCCGGAAGGAGGCGCTGCTTGCCGGGGGAGTGCGGCAAGGCAAGTGGCACTTCAAGATGCACGATGGAAAGCTGACGTTGTCGTCGGCCACCGACAACATCAATGGAGCCGCCCGCTACGAAATGACGCACTGCTTGCACAACGCAATCCAGTAACGCCACACGCTGCCTCTGCTCTGCAGCGCAAACGTGTCTCCTCACGCACGTTCTAAACCCGCGAATAGGTACTACCACATCGCGCTTCATTTGGCTTCTGGCACCCAATCCTTCGCCGCGAAAGACATTGCAACGGATCGTCCTAACGGCGATGCCGCCTGGCGCCTTCTCAACCCCGGCCGCAACCAATCCTCCAAGCTCTACGAAGTCGCCGAAGTCCTCCTGACCCAGGCACCGGTCATCTACACGCGCGCCATGACTAGCGATGACCTCCGCAACATGAAGACAAGGACGATCCTGCCCATGCTCGAGAGTCCGTGCAACGAATACGCAAAGCGCTACATGCCACACGGCGTCCCGCGAGCGGACGAGCGGCACTTCGCGGCTGCACTCGTGGATGCGCAGAAGATTGTGTGCAACGAAACGTACCGGATGCACCTTCCCCAAGCTGATCTGGACTCCTACACGAGGAATCTCCACACACTGCAGTACCCGGACAACGACAGGATTGCGTCTTACCACCCGGCTCAGACGGCTCGGTTGGTTGGCATCGAACACACCTTCACGTTTTCTCTCAACTTGATGTGGGGACTCGACCTGAAGGAGTGCACCGATAAGTACTGGTGCTGGGCAAAGGTGCACAACGTAGAAGCCCTGTCGCGGACCACTCAGTTCAGCCTGGCCCTAACGGACAGATGACAGCACTATCCGACAACACATGCTCATTAACTTGCCTCCGTCGCCTCAGACGTTGGCCAACTTTGCGGTGGCGGGCCTCGTCACCGTGATCGGCAACACTACGCGGAGCGAGTGCATGCGCGATGGGACCGACGAGAACGACGACGCCGACACCACTAGCGTGACAGCTGAGCTGCGGAAGGTCGCAGAGTTGCCCAACGTCCAACGCTCGGGGGACCCCCGGACGTATGAGTACAAGACGCAGCTCATTGACATGGCAAGCGCCCTCGAGCACCGTTGGGCTGAAGTCCAAGCTCAGAACGAGAAGCGGATGATGGACAAGACGCTTCTCTCCAACTTCGACTTTGTCCTCGGCAAGAACGGCGACAGGGGCTTCTGCCAAACGTCAACCACGTGGGTCTAAAGCCGCGCCAGATCACACCATGCGCTGTTCTCCCGCGATCGATGGCGGCTTGGTGGACACACCTGTGGGAAGTGTCACACTCTGCTCAGCCGATCGATCCCCCCCCACCCACTCGATCGATCACTGTGAGAACTGATAGAAGAGGGTGTTTAATAGATGGTGTTTACTACGGCCCGTTGTACACTGTGTTGAGTGAGTGTGAGTGTGTATGTTGAGCTTGTTCATTGCTAGATGTGTTTCTCGGAAGGCTGCCACGAAGCCCTCTAACATGGAGTGCGAGGACTCGTCTGTCGCCGTCCCAAACTGTCACTCCCCTTTCTCCCGGCCGGGGCGCGCGCCCACCACCAGCAGAATCGAGCGGGACGACGAGCCGCCTCGCCCCAGTCTGGGCATCGCCCTCAACGGCGGAGGCGCCAGGGCGCACGCGGGTTCTTGGGGCTTCATGCGTGCAATGCACCATCTCGGCCTCCTTTCGGAGGCGACTCATATCTCTGGCGTGAGCGGCTCGGGCTGGACGGTGGCGCACCTCGCCTACTCCTCCGACCCGCTGGACGAGGTGCTCACAACCTCGCGCCTCCCGACGCCAGCCAGTGCGCTGCCCGACTACAGCAGCAAGGAGGGGCGGGCAGAGCTCGAGATTATGCCGTGGGGCCGCCTCGGCGCGTCGACGTGGATATCCATCGGGGACTACACCAAGCTGCGCTCCTGGACGCTGAGTGCCTCGTTCGCGTGGACCTGCTGCTGCGACCCGCATGAGTTTTGGCTCTGGATGATCGACCAGATCTACCTCAAGCCGAACGGCATCGCCTCCTCCTCTTCATACACCGTGCAGCATCCAACACGAAACTTTACCCGACGACGTTCCGTACTGCGGCGATACATCGACCAGGACGAAGATCTTCTACCCAACGGGGCCGCTGCCAAATACCGACGGGGCCGCTGCCAAAAAGTACCCGGTGGTCATGTTTCACCGTGGCTCTAGAGGCTACACCAAGGGGTATGATAAGTGGATGGAGAGCGTTGCGAAGCAATGCCTGATCGTCATTGCGCCCGTCACCGAAAAGACCACCAATCCTACGTGCAAGCGGGACGACGACCTGCTCATCGCCGTGCAGTGGGCCAGAGCGCACCCTCATGCGTTGAAGGCGGTGGCTGACTGGGATCGTGTCGCGGTCTCAGACCTACATTCTATATTCCAGAATGGCATTCTTCGAAATAGAATGGGCGCCGCAGCGGCCCGTAGCGGCGCCCCCTGCGTGCCCACGGCCACCCCGGGGCCATGGGACATCCCCCCGGCCATCGGGGATGCTTGGTTTATCCATTACCCCATTTACACGGGCTGTGTTGCGGCGCGCCTCGAGACGCGCAGCGCAGCGCAGCGCGCAGACCACAAACCAGATATAAGAAGACGGCCGTGGCGACACCCGCTCTCTGAGCGACAGCCCCGCAAAGGGCACTCGCTCGCAGGCGAGGACTACGGGCAGCACAGGCAGCAGCAGAGCTGGCGGTCCGTCTCCCCGCCCGCTTAGCAAGTCGGCCCCAGCGTCACGGCCGGGACGGGCCAGGAGCCACCCGGCTCGACGAGATCGACGAAGAGGACGAAGACGAGGACGAAGACGAGGAGAGGACTACTCGAACTTGGACGAGGACTCAGGCGAGGCGCAGGACTCGGAGACCGGGCAGGGAAGCGAGGACCATGACTAGGTGACACGAGGAGTAGATGTGACATAGGTAGACCGCATTCGCGCTGTCTGCTCACTTCTGCCGCCCGACCCTTTCGCCCGCCCACCACTTGCGAGCACAAATCTCACACTTCCACTGCCCTCGCCACAGGCGGCGACGGACGGACATCCAAGGCTCGAACGGCGGCAGCGGCTCAACGGCTGCCGGCGGCCGTCGTGCGTTTGCTTTCGCCATACGCGGCCCCCGGCGTCTGCTCTGGTTTGCCGGGGCGGGGGGGAGGACTCTCATTTGCGGACTGTTGGGCTTCTCTGTGTTGAACTGGCGCTTGTCGCGAACCCCACCAGTCTGGCCGAGCGGCACGCTGCCGCTGGGGGCGTGAGGAGGCCGTGGGGGACGGCGGCGGACCCCATTCTTCGATGTAGAATGGGCCCTCACCGCGGCCCGTCTGCTGCTGAAAATGTGGCGTGTTGGGGGCTCTCCTGTGTGACTCCTCTGGCTCGCCGCGTTAAAGTGGCGCCTGTGTGTGACCAGCCTCAACCCCGGCAAGCGCCCCCCGGCCGCTGGGGCTGCGAGGCGGCCGGGTGAGCGCGCGCGAGACGCCATTCTACATTATAGGATGCCATTCTATAATATAGAACGGCCAGGTAGGGCTGAGACCGGTCGGTGCAATGGGGCACTCCGCAGGAGCGCACCACCTGCCGAGATTTGTTGAAGACGCAAATAACACCCTCAGTGTCGACATCAAGGCTACGGTCTTCTCTCACGGCGGCGACGATTTGCAACACTACCTGTCTGACGATGTCCTGTCCTATGTCCCGTCCTTCTTCCTTACCGCGAATGGCGATAACAGAACTGAAAAAAACAAAAAAGCCTTCGCATTGCACAACGCCGGAATGCTCGTACGCCTGGTTCAGGGGCATGAATGCGACAAACAAAGTCTCTCTCCGGTCTGCGGTATTCCGCGGCCGCCGACCGGACCCCCCTGCGGTCGGTCGGTCTGCGCTGGGCGCTCAAACCGCGAAGTCGGCCTGTTCACTACAAGATGACGCTCATACATGATATGACCGCGAAGTCGGTACCTGTAAGGGCGTAGACGCCCTTAGTACCTGGGTACAAGATGACGCTAATATTACCGCTTCAGCAGGAACCCCGTTTTTTGATGGCCTCCCACCGCATCGGCGCCCGCGTCGCGGGCCTCTCGCCAGCGCAGCTGTGCGCCATCATCGAGGCGCAGGCGGGCGCGAGCGACGCCGCGCTGCGCGTGGCGGAGGAGCACGCCGCACGGCTCGTGGAGCAGCCCGAGTGGGTGCTCTCAGAGGTCCTCCTCTCGCCGGACCTCGCCCCGCACATCCTCGCCCAGCTGCCGACCAAGGAGCACGCCGTCAAGGGGACGTGCCGCGCGTGGCGCCGCGGCTGGAAGGAGACGCTGAAGAAGCGCGAGAGGGCGCGCCTGCTCGTGATCGGCGGCCACGACGGCGGCCACGAGTTCCTCAACTCGCTGGAGCGGTACGACCCGTCAACGAATGAGTGGGAGGAGGAGGCTGTGGCGCCGATGCCAGCGGCACGAAGCTATGTCGGCAGGGCGGTGCTCGATAACAAGCTCTACGCGGCGGGCGGCGAGAGTGAGGACGACGGCGCAACTTCCAGCTTGGTGGAGCGGTACGACTTTGAAACGAAATCGTGGGAGGAGGTGGCGCCAATGGCGACACCACGCGAGAGTCACGCCGTGACGGTTCTCGACGGCAAGGTCTATGCTGCTGGCGGCTACAGCGACGGCGTCGGCCGCCTCAGCTCGGTCGAGCGGTACGATCCGGCGACGAACGCGTGGGAGGCGGTGGCACCGATGGCGTCGGCACGTCGTTGGAACGCTCTGGCGGTGCTCGACGGCAAGCTGTATGCTGTCGGCGGGTACGACGGTGACAGCCTCAGCTCAGTGGAGCGGTACGACCCGGCGTTGGATGCGTGGGAGGCGGTGGCGCCGATGGCGGCGGCGCGGGCTTATCACGCCACGGCGGCGCTCGACGGCAAGCTGTACGCGGTGGGAGGCTTCAACGACGACGACGGCTACCTCAGCTCAGTCGAGCGGTACGACCCGACAACGAATGCGTGGAGCGCGGTGGCGCCGCTTGCGGCGTCGCGGGCTCTTGTCAGCTTGGCGGTGCTCGACGGCAAGCTGTACGCCGTGGGCGGCGAGATTGACGAAGACGACGAGAACTTCGGCGTGCCAGTCAACACGGTAGAGCGATTCGACCCGTTTACAAACGTCTGGGAGGAGGTGGCGCCGATGGCGACGGCACGGAGCGCGCCACGTGCTGCCTCGTTGCTGTAGAGGCCGCGGATGATGATGCGCAAGCTTGGGTGTGCTGGGCGCCAGCCAGAGGCTAGAGCGGGAGGGGGCGCTCCGTGTGTTGAGGAGACCCTCCCGGCGCGCTCACAAGCGCTCGCGACTGGAGCGATTGTGGGAGCTCCATCTGTGCAGGTAGCAATCGTTGCATCTTTGCACTTTGGGAGGAGATTGCGAGCGCTACCACACGCCCACGGCCACACTCCCACGCGCCACGGACGTGCGTTGCGATTGCGAGGAGTACTGCTCAAAATCCTTTTCGCGACTGTGGGATTGAGAGCGAGGCTGCTCAAATTCAATCAGCCAATTCTCGGTCAGCCGTTCCAGGATGCAGGAAAAAATAGTTTCGTTGCTCTGAGGCGGCCCAGCGGACCCCAGCGCCGGACCGTTGGCACGGCCAGCGCGCGGGGGGCACCGGGGCTGACCCCCCCGCCTCACTAGTGTGATGTCTGTGGGCCCGAGAGCGATATGCCATGTCCGCCTTGCTTTGTTTCCTAACATCGAAGGCTAGCTCAAAAAGAATTTTACGACAAAACTGCTCACCGCTCACGTGGTCGTGGTACGGCTTTACGTGGACGTGCTCTCTCTACGCTCTCTCTCTCTCTCTCTCTCTCTCTATCTCTCAGCCTCCATTCCGACCGAGACCAGCAACGGACGGGGGCAGGAGGGCGCGTGGCAAGCCGCGGGGCTCGGCGCATAGCACGGGGCAGTCGGAGAAGGGGGCATCACTGACGTCACTTGCACCCTACCGCCCTTCTCATCACTGCCCCGGCGCCCACGCCCCGACCTTCTTGGGCAGCAGCTGGTTCGACAGGACCTCTCCGTGGCCTAGGCAGCCGTCGCCGCCCCCGCCCCAGGTTAAGACGGCGCCGTCGGCGGTGCGGGCGATGCTGTGGTAGACTCCGGCAGAGACAGCGACGACGCGCTGCCCAGCCAAGGCCGCGACCTTCTTCGGCAGCAGCTGGCGCTGCTCGTTGCCGTGGCCCAGCCTGCCGTCGCCTCCACGGCCCCAGCTCCAGACGGCGCCGTCAGCAGTAATGGCGAGGCTGTGCCCCCCTCCCACCGAGACAGCGACGACGCGCAGGCCAGCCAACGCCTCGACCTTCTTGGGCAGCAGCTGGTGCTGCTGGTCGCCGTGGCCCAACCGGCCCAAGCCTCCGCAGCCCCAGCTCCAGACAGCGCCGTCGGCGGTGAGGGCGAGGCTGTGGTACGACCCAGCCGTCGCAGCCACGACACGCCGACCAGCGAAGGCCTCGATCTTCTTCGGCAGCTGCTGGCGCTGCTCGTCGCCGTGGCCCAGCATGCCAAAACTTCCACCGCCCCAGCTCCAGACCTCTCCATCGGCGGTGAGGGCGATGCTGTGTGCGTATCCAGCCGAGACAGCGACGACGCGCCGCCCAGCAAAGGCCTCGACCTTCTTTGGCAGTAGCTGCGGCTGCTGGTCGCCGTGGCCCAAGCGGCCGCCGCCTCCATAGCCCCAGCTCCAGACGGCTCCGTCGGCGGTGATGGCGAGGCTGTGCCCGCCTGCAGCCGACACAGCGACGATGCGCAGGCCAGTCAACGCCTCGACCTTCTTGGGCAGCAACTGGTTCTGCTGGTCGCCGTGGCCCAGCTTGCCCCCAACTCCATCACCCCAGCTCCAGACAGCGCCGTCTATGGCGAGGGCGAGACTGTGCCTCTCTCCAGCCGTCACGCTCACAGCACGCTCGCCGCCCAGCGGGGAAGGGAGGCGTGTCGGCGTGTTGAGCTGCGTCACGCCATCGCCGTGCCCGAGCAGTCCCGGCAGCCAGCTCTCAGCCGTTCCGCACGACGAGAGCCGCCCCTCGCCGTCGATGAAGAGGCTGTGCCGATTGCCTGCAGCCGCGCTCGCCGGCGGGTTGGACTCGCGCAGCAGCGCAGAATAGCACAGCCACCGCACAGTGCAGTTCTCGCCCTCTGGCTGCGCCGGCAGCTCGAAGCCGCGCTCTTGCGCCCACAGGCGGATGCCCTCCAGCGCAAGCGAGGCGTGGAAGAGCAGCGAGACGGCCGCGACACGAGCGATGTCGGCGGGGTCGCAGCGAGAGATGGCGCGCACGAGAAGCTCCGTGGGGAGGTCGAGGAGGCGGGCGGGCGGCGGCGTGTCTGGCGAGGGCGTGGCGGTGGAACCGGAGGCGAGGCGGCGGAGCGGCGGCGCGGCGGGGCTGACATCGCGAGAAAAAGAATTTTACACCTAACCTACAGAACACTTGAGATCCGCGACCTTGCGCGCACGCGCCCCCATTTGTTTTTCTGTCTGCAACAACAGCCCGAGGGGTGAAATGTCTTTGTTGTCTCTGTAACGAAGCTCGAAGGGCCCGCCGCTCCGCCTACGCCGGCGATGACCCTCTCGGCAGAGCCTCCGCCGCCCTCGCCACCACCCCCGTCTCCGCCACCGCCGAGCCCTCCCCCGCCCTCTCCCCCTCCGCCCTCTCCCCCTCCGCCCCCTCACCGCCGCCGCCCTCGCCGCCGCCACCGAGCCCGCCG